AAATGTTACGACAATTCCTTTCAAGCTGGATTCTTCCATACGATGGTGCTTTTAACACGAACCAAATACGCCTCCCCTCATCAGTGATGCTCTATCACGCAATGCGTCAAAGGCGGATTTTAGCTGAAGAAAAAAACATGAAAAACGGCCCAGAACCCGAGAAATGGACCCCTTCTTTGCCCGTTGATTTCCGCATTGATGCGACTCTCATCGGTGCTGCCCTCTTCAACGCTAACGCTCTCTGCTAAATGGCTAGAGTCAGACGGCGAAAGGTTATCCGTCGGCGAGCGTGCAAGGCGCGAGTGGCGAGGGTAGGACCGTACTGGCCGCTGAGGGCATACTCTTCTATGCGAAACGTGGCATCTTCCCGCACCCTTAGGAGGGCTGTCTGCCTTTCGACTTTGTAAATTTCCCCTTCTTCGACCCCGACCTTATTGTGAATCCTCCGTTAACGTCTAGTTCTACTCTCCTTTCCAGTAATCTTGTTCAAGTGTGAGGGATAAATATTGATTCTAGTTTTAGTTATCTTGTCCAGTTCATAAAGACACTGTTTTGTTTGGTTCAGAAATGAATTTGTTTATCTTTGTTTAGATAGAAAAGTATTTTTCTAACTTAAATCCTGAAATTTCGGTCTTCAAGTTTAAAATTGTCCTTTAAACATATTGAGGGTTGAGATTCAACAAGTCCTTCAATCCCCGTTTTCCACCTGCTTTCAGATGAAAACTGAACAAGCAGAATACCCTCTAAACTGATTATTGTTGTCATGAAAAGAAAATAGTCCAAGTATCCCAGCATCGAGCCGAGTCACCACTCTACGCAGATTCCGCGACACCCTGAGCCAGGTATTGGGCCATACAATGCTCAAAGTCAGGGGCACTGGGCGGGCGTCGAGTGACTTTTGCTAGAATCTGCAACATTATCGTCGTATTGTTGACGCTTGTTTTTCATCCGGCAGAAGCATGCCCCGAATAACAAATCCCGAGCCCGATGTGTTATCTTCGCTGACAACCTTTCAACATGGCGTATTTCATGGGGTGATAACGGGTGGTGTGTATAGCGCCCAGCATCTTATGGATGCGCCATGCACTGAAATTTTGCGCAGAAAGCAAGAATGCCGGTTATAAACAAAACTTTCGCCCCAAGCGGGAGGAACCCGCATCTTTCGCTTGCCAGGCAGGTTACTCTGTTACGTGTACTGCGCTACAAGTTACGCTACCGGGGCACCATTTCACCCAACTCAGCTTTTCATGGTATACGTACCATAGCTTTCAGCACTCACACGTCTAACGTGTTGAGCCGGTTAGCCGATATCGGCAATGACCGCGAGGCTGAAAGCTTTAGCAATGAATTTTGACTTGTTTTCGTTTGTTAACCGTGCAGAAAGGTTGAAAAATGAAATATGAGACGCAGATCAATACTCTTCTGAGATGCGCCACGCAATCGCCTTCGAAGTCAAATTCAACTCTAAGCTCGTCAGTTACAACTATGGATTCCGTAGCTTCATTTGAATGGTTCGGAGTAAAAAAGGGGCCTGATGAAGAATTTGGTGTCTTTCACTAGCTAGTTCGGTACCAATTAAATACAGACATCAGCGGTACGCAGTCCGAGAAACGCGAAAATTTTCCGACCGAAATTAGAAAAAATACGTCGCTGTCGGGGAGAGGGATTGGAGGGGGGGGGCAGATCCCTAAAGAGGTGACGGTTGTGTTGCTGTAACCCTTAGCGGCCTTAACAAGGCCATTCCGGGGCCGAAGTAAAGCTCTCTGGCGGGTGTCACGCCCAGCGTTTCCTACATCGTGGAACTTTAGCCTCGAACTCTAACCGTTACAGTATAGAAGCTGAGTAGTGTAGTAGTATACTGTGATGCGTCAGCAGCGATGAGAGTCGCCTCAACTCGGAATTCGGCTGAGGAAAAGGGTCCTGCATTGCGGGTTTCGAGCCGTTTTCCCTTGGTTTTTTTCTTCATAACTACTCGACCACACTCTTACCGACAAGGAAGCATTGAAAGTTCTTTTTTAGATATTTTTAAAGGATTTTGGAGACGGCATGAAAGGAATGCAGGAGAATTTTTCTCAATCCTACTCGGCTAACATTGTAACGCGAAACGCCTGTGGGAGTGTGCTGACAAGCTGTTGTTTCTCAGAACATCAGTTTTCTGCGAGACTGCAGACAGGCATAATCCGCCTGTCTTCTCTCGTCACATCCTGAAGAAATGAACTTATCTAC